TTATTGTGTGTTCCTAATATCACCCACTGGATTTTCTGGCCCAGGCTCGATGGTTAACCTATCGTCGTGAATATTGTTGGCAGCGTAAACAACAACACAACACCATTTTGGATAATTAGTTCATACGTGAGGTGATTAATATGGCAGAGAGACACCTTTGCATTGCAATCATTGTGTATATTTTTTATAACTGCAGTATAATGTTAACCAAATATATATTTAAACACATTTTCTTGATGATACAAATCAATGTTCTCTTCTTCGACTTTAGAAACCTTGCCAAATACCTTGCTGTGGTTCAGATATTTAGTGTGACAATACATTTTGGGAAGCATGTTTAATAATTTGGCGCAACGCCAGTACTGATACGTACAAACAAACGTTTACAAATATTAATACCAACTCCCAAGACCAAACAATCCTGAGATACAAGGCAATCCTATATTAATGCGTTATAGGAACTTTCAGACTCACATCGCAAGTTTGGAATGAGCTTTCATTTCCGAACCATTGCATTTCATAGTCATCAGTCAAGGTTCATGATTTCACAGCATTGGATGCTGTCCTTCTTAATCATCCCGTCTCTTTTCCAGAGAATGGCTGGTGCTTGTGCGAATCACAACTGTACAGCCGGCAGCTACTGCAAAGAGATCGACGGAATTCAGTTCAGGTGTATCGGATATGGTAACACAATGTTTCTTCATAATTCCAAAGGGGACACAGGTGGCCGAGTCGTTTGCATTCACTGTTCAGAGTTACGCCTAATGTGCGTGCCATAAAACTATGCTTTTTTTCCGAATTATATTTTTACCTGATTATATTTCTATGTTTGTCAGTACATACCTGTGCTTGTGGCCTTCACAAACAAATGTAAGAACCCGTAAAGATCCGGGGTAGAATAGGTCTTTAGCAACCAATGCTTGTAAAAGGAGATTATGCTTGTCGCAAGAGGCGACTATCGGGATCGGGTTGTCAGGCTCGCAGACTTGGTTTATGCATGCCATCGTATCCCGATTGCATATATAAATGCTCGTGATATCAATCACTGGATTGTCTGGCCCAGACTGGATTATTTACAGTCCGCCGTCAAATAGCTTGACTGTTGGTGAGTGCGGCGTTAAACAACAAGAAACTAAACAAAATGGTAAGGTATGTCTCATTTCGGGCTCCCCTCCCAGACCAGGCTAATTATTACAAGCTGTGATGATAATGTTAGCTGAAATACTGTTCAAAGAAGCGTTAAAAGGGGCGGTGGGTAGTCCTGTGGTTAAAACGTTGTTCTATCATGCCAAAGACACGGGTTTGATTTTCCCGATCGATACAATGTGTGAAGACAAATCTTGATGTCGCCTGGCGTAATTTGGCTGATTTTGCTTAAAGGCTCACTTAATCAGAGTTCAATCTCTTGTGGATTTGGTATGATGATATCCTACATTCACATAAAGCTTTGATTTAAAATTGTATGCTGTCTCTCTCAAAGCATCATCATGTGGAAAAGTAAAGGAGTGTCACCCCTCCAGCCCCGATGGTGAATACTGGCTACGCCTGCCTAACTTTAACCTGTACAGAACCCGGATCTACTGTCGCGACATGAACACAGCCACGCCCGTGGAGTACCTGACACTGCCCACGCCTAACCATGGAATTTACCCCAAAGTAGGAAATGTTTTATGCAGTGGCGAAGAAGGTCTCACAGGGACCTGCACGGGCAGTGGAGGGGAGGTGTGGTACAACAAGATCAGAGTGCGAATACAGGTGAGACTTTTGTGATGACTTTTTCTCAGATATTAGACATACGCATACTTGACATTCGCGCCGATAACTCGTAGTAGAGCATGCCGAAACGAGTCTTCACAAGTGTGTCTGCTCGAGTATCTGCTAGCCGAAACAAGTATATATGCTTGGATGTCTGCATGCCATTGTGTGTCTGCTTGTCTATCTGCAAGTCGGCACAAGTGTGCTTGAGTGTCTGCTAGTCGGCACAGGTGTGTCTGCTTGAGTGTCTGCTAGTCGGCACAAGTGTGTCTGGCTGAGTGTCTGCTAGTCGGCACAAGAGTGTCTGCTTGAGCGTCTGCTAGTTGGCACAAGTGGGTCTGACTGAGTGTCTGCTAGTCGGTACAAGTGTGTCTGCTAGTCGGCACAAGTGTGTCTGCTTTAGTATCTGCTAGTCGGCACAAGTGTGTCTGCTTGAGTGTCTGCTCGTCAACTAGTCTGCTTGAGTGTCTGCTAGTCGGCACAAGTGTGTCTGCTTGAGTGTCTGCTCGTCGGCACAAGTGTGTTTGCTAGTCGGCACAAGTGTGTCTGCTTTAGTATCTGCTAGTCGGCACAAGTGTGTCTGCTTGAGTGTCTGCTCGTCAACTAGTCTGCTTGAGTGTCTGCTAGTCGGCACAAGTGTGTCTGCTTGAGTGTCTGCTAGTCGGCACAAGTGTGTCTGCTTGAGTGTCTGATCGTCGGCACAAGTGTGTCTGCTTGAGTATTTGCTTGTCGGCACAAGTGTGTGGTTGAATGTCTACTAGTGAGCACAAGTGTGTCTACTTGAATGCTGCATGCTGTAACGCACACGCGTGTCTGTTTGTCTATCTGCAAGATTGCAAAAGTGTGTCTGCTAGTCGGCACAAGTGTGTTGTTGAGTATCTGCTAGTCGGCAAAAGTGTGCATGCTTGAATGTATGCATGCCGTAACGCATGCGCGTGTCTGCTTATCTATCTGCAAGTCTGCACAAGTGTGTCTGCTCGAGTATCTGCTAGCCGACACAAGTGTATGTGTTTGAGTGTCTGCATGCCGTAACGCACTCATGTGTCTGCTTTTCTATCTGCAAGTCGACACAAGTGTAACTGATTGAGTGTCTGCTAGTCGGCACAAGGGAGCGTCTAGTTGTCAGCACAGGTGTGTCTGCTTGAGTGTCTGCTAGTCGGCACAGGTGTGTGTGCTTGAGTGTCTGCAAGTGTGTGTGAATAGATGTCTGCTTGCTCAGGTTTGTCTGCTTGGGCACAAGTGGGTCTACTTGAGTGTCAGCTAATCGGCACAACTGGGTCTGATTGCGTGTCTGCTAGTCGGCACAATTGTGTCTGCTTGAGTGTCTGCTACTCGGCACAACTAGGTCTGCTTGCGTGTCTGCTAGTCGGCGCAAGTGTGTCTGCTTGAGTGTCTGCTCGTCGGCTCGTCGGCTAGTCTTGCTTGATGACCTGCTAGTTGGCACAAGTGTGTCTGCTTGATGACCTGCTAGTCGGCACAAGTGTGTCTGCTTGATGACCTAGTTGGCACACGTGTGTCTGCTTGAGAATCCGCTAGGCAGCACAGCTGTGTCTGCTCGAGTGAATGTTAACCGTCACTTGTGTGTCTGTGTGAGTGTTTGCCAGGGGGGGGAAGTAAGTTGCACAGCAAGCCAAGCAAGTGTAATTGCTGAAGCGTTTTTTTGCTGACATGTACACGCGTATCTGCTTAAGAATCCGTTATCCAGCACAGTTGTGTCTTCTTGAATGAATGTTAGCCGTCGCCAGTGTGTCTGCTTGAGTGTCTGCCAGCCTATAAGAGTTAAGTGATTCTGCTAATGACACAAGTTAATACATGTGTTAGCTTGCTTTCTTCTAACATGTGAACACATATGCCATGCAAGTTTAACATTTAGAATGATGGGACCTAATATTTCTTTGATAACAACAATTGTGTACGATTCATTGGCATTTTGCCACACAAATCTTTCGTAATATCAGTAAACCTTCACAAGACGACAATGTTTTATTGTTACAGAACATGGAGGTTGAGCGAAACGACGCAACGTTTGCAAACTTAACCAACGTCCATTTGCCCTATGCCATGGCCAAGGATTGCTATGCACGCCACGAGAATGGCGTTGTCAGCTCGTGTGGAACCCGGGGCGAGTTTACCGTCAATCTAACAGGAACTGGATGGGCAGTGAGGGCAGATGTATGTACCCAAATATAGATTTAATAGCACATAAATATAATAAGAAACATAAATATGTATGTCAATGTTTGTCTGTCATCAAAACGCAGCAACGCCAAAATGTCGTCACTCACCGAGTGTTCAACAGTAACTGTCCGTTACTTCCCACAAGTAGCTTGATATACGTTTCTTTTAAAGGACTACATTTTTGTAATATCAGACCGTATAATATATGCCAGAAATGTAAACAAAAGCAAATGACTCAAGCAGGTTCCCAAAATACTCATCCATATTCAACACAACGACCAAATATTCAACCCTTGGGATTCCGGGTACTAGTACATGTACTCTGAGCCCTCGAAGACAAAACACGTCCTCTTTTCAGAAATGTTGTCTCATGCGACTTGAGCTTGTTACAGACGTTTTATTTTATACTGTTTGTTTATAAAACAGCAACCATGGATCGTTGAAGGATGGAAATCTGCAATAGAATCCATTGTTCGGAGTGAAAACGGTTCCGTCGTTCACTTGAAGTGTGGCGGCCGCCCTGGATGGTGTCACCCAAATGGCTCCTTAACTCTGACAGTTCTCCCAACTAAAGGTAACAAAGGCAAATATTAATGTGATCTGGACCCAAGAAAGGGCACATGTACATATATTCGCCAGGAACGCGCCCAGGGAGCGGAAGGTCGGGGGCTGGATCCCCGACCGCGTCATATCAAATGACGTTGAAAGATGATACTTGTTGTTATCCTGCCTGGAGCTCGGGATTAAGGTTACAAAAATAGGGTCGGCTCGGAGTCAAAATACTGTGTCTGAGTTGGGTATTCATGTGAAAGTGTGGCATGGTATCTCAGTCGCTATATAAGTGCAATAATCTTGAACGTGACATTGAACCCCATTTAACCTCACCTCACCTCACCTCACCTCACCTTGTGTAACAAAATGCAAATATGGACTGTTTATGGCAGATAGGATGTGCTCCTGAGATGCAGTATGTTGGTCACTACTTTTATCAAGAGCAAAAGTGTCCCAGTCGTCTCATACTGAGATACTGAGTTCCTTCCTTTATGCGTGCCAGAAATCTATGATTCACCATAATTGTAAACGTCTAAAAACTGCTGCAATGCAGCATCATTTCGGGCTTTCTTCCATCTTAAAGCTTGAGAATTTGTTGGGGGGGGGGGGGGGGTATGTGATTCAGGCGACATTCACGAATTCCGCTTTGACATCCTGTTACAAGAGACAAAGACATTCTCCATATTTACATGTTACTACATGTTATTAAAACCATTGTATGTGTATGATGCCATCACAAAACAAAATGGTGTCAGGATGAGTCCCAGTAATTACCCCGCGTTCCATTTGTTGTGTGGTAAACGCCCTGCTCAGTCTCCAGGGTGTCCAGTGGCAGACACCTTCGACTTGCCACGCTGTCACGTACGTCCTCATGTAACATAAATGTTGTTCAAAGCGACGTGACATCTACGTCATCCCCTAAGTTATCCACTAGGCTGCCAGTCAAAATGCCTTTTGCAAAACTTATGGATACAATACTCACTTGAACATGCTTTAAATTAAGGCCATTGGGGAATTTGAAATAGATCAAGGCACTTCAGGAAACATACTGTAATTAAGGGAATTAAAATATATTTTTTGATATTTAAAAATACTTTTAATATGTTTATATATGTAGTAGTAAATTTGTTTGAGGTGACATTATGTTGAATGGATATGGACCAACGAATATTTAATTCCAAAAGGATAAATTCGTTTGCTATGTGCTAAATTATCCTGTCAGTCATGTTACATGTATTCTTCGATAGTTTGAAATGAGAGACATGTCAGGGTACTTTAGGTTTTGAAGAAAGAATTAACATAACCCCCAATCTCAGCTAATATAGCGTTTCCCTTTGCCCATGTAATCATTGTTCTTTATTAATGATCACAGAAACACTTTACCTACGGGACACGATCAAATATGAAGATTTTGAAAAGCAATGTAAAAAGCTTTTTTTCAAATTAACAGCTCCATTGCAACGAATGTCATTGTTAAGCGCCCCCATTCCCATCCCTCGCCCCTCGCCTACACCTATAACTCGTATAAGGGTGTATACACAATACTTTGTTTGGTAAACCTGACTTAGTGTCTAGACGGACAGCCATGAAAGAACCTGCTGTATCGTAAAAAAGATATTTCCTCCAAACGAGTAATTCCACTAGGTGTGTATGCTCAAATTGCTTTACGGCTATCCCCTTCTGATAGATAATCCTGATAGAGCCCTTTTTCTTTGACATCAAGAAATCAATACACAATATATTATTTATAACAATATCACATGATACACGCATTTTATTATTTGACGTTGAAACGTATTATATATGAAACCACTCATGTCTAGATGACATGTAAAAATTTCTCGTAACATGTTTTTGGTTTTTATAAAATCCATTTTGTTGTTATCTGGAACCCCGGATAACTCGAACTTTTTTTTAGGTCTCCACGATTTCGACACAGCAAGGGTCGACTGTATGTATGTTGTCTATATAAGCTGAACGAATGATACAAATGTGACAGTTCAATCATCTTCATTTCAGTTGTTGAAGAATCGTCAGCCACAGAGGTAGAGTGCGTCTAGCGAGGCCGACGCTGACTGTACTGTGAAGCTAATCCACGCCAATCTAGCTCATCCCCAGCACCCAGCCTCACAGAGAACCAAGCTGAGTCCGCATTGTAATCGTGCGATTATACATTATCAAGTCCTTCGTCTTTTACATGATGACTCTTAAACTTGAAATGGGTAGTATTTATCTATTCCGTATTTCCGTATCTTGTAAAATGACCTCCGAATTAGGAACATGCCAGCAATGCAACTTTAAACGAGGTACATTTCCGTTTTTGAAAGAACCAGGAGTATATTTTAATCCTTTCATCCCACTCATACGAAGCAAAGTATAATGCATAAACGATCATTGCTTTGCCGAGAACGCACCGTGAGCTTTAATTTATTTTAAAAGCAATCACCTTGCAGTTCTTAATAATCCATCTCTTCTCAGAGTCAGTTAACCCTGTTTTGTAAATTGAGGGTCGAGTCCTGATCTGTTAACCAGTCCTCCTCACCATCAACCAATTCGTGGTACTCGTTATATCTCTGACCGCGCAAATGTTGTTTTTTTGTGAAAATTACTGTCAAACTGGTATGTGGCATCTCATTTTTACAGAAATGTACCATTTTGGTTAGATATTTTTACTTTTGAATAGCACTTTCTTTGGCATTTGATTCCCTTTTAGTGAACGTATTTCAGCCTGTGAAGTATGCATCATATCATGCTTGACGAGCTGCCACTTTTTGCCTGTGCTGTTAAATCACTTTAGAATGACCATCGAGCTACATAGCATGTAACGGGCTATCCGCTTTGAGTGGATCAGTGGTGCGAGAGAAGGTTCATTCGTGAAGGTTGTTCTCACTTGCGAGAGTCGCTTTGTTCAATTTCAAAAGTTTGAAATATAAGGTTTACCTGCGTATTTCATTTCTGAGATTTGATAGCAATTCTCGGATAAGGTTTTTAAAAGTATCTCGAAATCTGTAACTCCTATTTATATGCAGAGAAGCAAATTTCACCATTAATGATGTCACTTGAGTAGAAAAAGTAGTATGGTTAGAAATAAAGCAATCCTTATGTTTCCTTCTTGTTCTAATACCAGAGCAAGGGAAATATCTAGCATCGAGCTTTTGTAAACAGCTTTCACATCATGCTTATAAAATACGAGGTGTTGTTCAGATATATCATGCTTACACATTTGTAGATGTAAATAAAGTGTTCTTAGTGTCCCTCTGGCATATTGTCCATCTCTTCCATTGTACTTCAACTGACGCTATTTTCCTCCAACATGAAACAGACCTCTTTTAAATAGACAAAACGCATGCGCTTCCAACTGGGAAAAATTCAGGCTTCCACACAAATGTCCGTGCAGAGGCTGATGTGTTGCATATATTTAACATGGGCGTAATGAAGCGGTCGTAAAGTGCCCTTCTTGAATTTTAACCGCAGACCTTTTGATCTGATTGAGTGAGCAAGTTGATGTTTATCGCCACGGCAAGCAATATTCCAGGAGTACCACTGCAAACAAGTCCTCGAGCCTGCTGATAAACATTTTACTTCACTTTTGTGAAAGATTAATATGCCCAAGTCGTCCACAATGTGAATACTCCCTTCCCAAGTTTAGTATAGTTTTAACTTCCAACGTTTTGTCGAAGTTGAAGGGACCAACGTAAATAATTCGAGTTATCCAAAGTTCGAGAATAATGAATATAGAAGGGATACATAGGGTCCTTGCTTTTACTTCGAGACAACCGTAAGTTCGACACATCAAAGATGGACACGAGTGTTTGACTATGAATATTTTCACCGCTCAGATACATTGAACATACTCAACAACAAAAGTTCCTGTGACATCAATATTAAAGTGTATTTTTCAAACAAGTAAAGTTTGTTTTTCAATATTGTAGTACATGTATGGAATCAAGTCACAAAAACGTCACTGCAAGCCCCATGCATTTCACTACCCAAGAATGGGTATAAAAACATGTGCGTTAACGGGATTCCATATGCATTGTTTAGCATCATGCCGACAATAACCACTCAGAAAAACAACAAAATTGTTATGGTAGCGTTATGGTATGGGGTGGGATTACAGCAAGACAGAGGACCCGTTTGATAGTGGTAGAGGGAAATCTCAATGGACAGCGCTACCGCGACTAGATCATCGGCCCAGTTGTTCTACCGTTTTTGCGTCGTCATGGCCCAGGCATTACCTTTCAACATGACAACGCCCGGCCTCATATTTCTTGACTTGTTCAGGAGTCTCTTCAACAAAACAACGTGAATGTCATCCCCTGGCCGACTCGCTGCCCTGATCTCTCACCAATCGAGCACATGTGGGATGAGATGGATCGGCGCCTTCGACGTCAACCACGTGTTCCACAGACACTCCAGGAACTTCGAAACATGCTCCAGCAGATATGGACAGATATCCCACAGGACTTTGTGCGACGCCTTGTCCATTCCATGAGACGAAGATGTGTTGCTTGCATCGCAACCAGAGGTGGACACACACGCTATTGATTTGTAAATTGACATTTTGGCATGTTTTTTTATGAATTCACGCATTTTCTGAAGTCAGTATGGCAAATTAAACCATTTGAACACTCACAGGAATCTTTTATCTGTTGCAAACCGAAATTGTTTCAGATTTGGTAAAAAACATAACTTTGCATTAAATCTTATTCAATGTCACAGGAACTTTTGTTGTAAGATTACCAAATGACAGCATTATAAAAGGCTATATTAACAGTTCTGAAATACATAAATACTCAGTCCAAACATGTTTATAATATTTTCTGTTTCCCTTCCATCAAGAATATTTCCTGTCACAATCATTTTCACGTGAAATCATAGACTTACATAATGATCTTGCTACTGGCCAATACGACATCGTCTTTTGTTGGTTACCCAGCACTCAACAAATCTGTGACACCACTTTTGATCCCCTACAATAGTTCCAAGCCCGTCACCAGATCCTATATCCGTGGCACACCCAAGTAGGTATAAATAAATTACATGAAATTAAACTTACTATCGGTTTCACCAACTTGGGTTGTCAGTCCAGATGTTGAAGAGGTCATTATGCGACAATGTCGTATTGGCCATTCACGCTATACTCATGAATATTTACTGAAAGGTGAAGATGCTCCATTCTATATCCCTTGTGATGAGAGTCACAGTCAAACATGTCCTGCTTGACTGTGTTTATTTTGCCACCACAAGGGATAACTATTTCAAGGTTTCACCCATCAAGAATCCTTTTAATATCAGTTCACATTTCATTATTGTTTAAAAAGAATTGATTTTTATTGATACATTTTGATAAAAAACATCTGTTGTAAAAAGTAGATGACTTAATTTGGTAGAATGAATTAACAACTGAGCTTGTTATTGACTGTACCTTTAAATGGGGTTGTTGTGAATAACCATATTTTAAAATTAAATGCTAGTTTTAAATACATATTAGGTTAAAATACAAAAAGGCGACTATGCTTGTAGTAAGAGGCGACTAACGGGATCGTGGTCAGACTCACTGACTTGGTTGATGCATGTCATCGTATCCCAGTTGTGTAGATGGATGCTCATGATGTCAACCACTGGGTTGTCTGGTCAAGAATCGATTACTTACAGACCGCCTTCATATAGCTGGAATATTGCGGCGTTAAACAACAACAAACAAACCTTACTACAACCGCCATTCCGAGGCAGAATGACTGGACCTTTCTCTGCCTCGGAATACCTCGGAGTCGGAGTCGGAGTCAAACCGTTTACCTCTTATCATGGAACATTCGAACCCATTCTGCTTTTCCCGTTTACGACCAATCCTCTATATGAGGGGGTCAGAATCAAAACGGGCCTAACCCCCAAATTTTGTGATTTGTTGTTAACCATCGGAAAGGAAAAACTATCTGTAAGTTAAACAAATGGCACAGGAAGCACGTTGGCCAAAGGTTTACCACCTAAACTTTTTGGATTAGATGCAGCTGGGATTAAATACAGAATTGCCAACGTCTACTGTACTGTAGTCTTGGAGTATGTTTTCGTTTTCTCGTGATGATTCTAGAACAGGTTTATGCTAAATATATTTCAAGATTGCAGAACTTGAAAACTGTGTGGCAGTTATTGACACGTTTCATGTTTTGAATTTTTGCAAGCTAATATGCTACATTTGCATTATGCGAAACTACTTCAATAGTGGGGAGTTCTTCACTTGATTGGCACCGTCATGTGGCTGGAATAGTGCCGGGTGCGGCGTTAAACAACGAACAAGCAATTGATTGGGAAATTGCTCAATTTATTGGCAGTTACCTTCATGTTCTTGATGCTTCGCTGCAGTTGTCATTATGTTTTATGTTTTTGACAATGCATACTCAATGATTTATTAAATTCCATTGTGCAGAATCACAGTCTTCTATAAAGATATACATGTATCTATCAGTTACTTTCATGTTCTTGAGACTTTGAGGAATATTGCTCAACATGAAGAGCATGTCGACTATACGAAAGTTGGTTTCATAATCTTGGGTTTTGTCTATTTCAGGTGGGTAATCAGTGGAACCCCCAAACAAAACGTTCTATGTTTAATCATGCAATTTTGCCACTCCATCAATCAGGATTTGGACTGGTGTTTTTTCCTATTTTGTGATATAGTTTTTATTTGTTTGTCGCATCTGACAAACAAGCTAGGCTGAGGTTCAGTTGGGGACATGAATCGTTTCCAGAAGTGATTCTTTTCGTGAAGCTTTAACAAATATGAACCAGATGGTGAGCTGGTTCATTTTACCAATTAGGGCTTTTCAATGGGCCTTTTCGTCCTTTTAAGCAGGCTGCGTGTGGCACTAGAAGGGTGATTTCTCTTTGACAGCTTGACTGAGGTGCAAAGTAGTGTTATAATGTTATATGCTAGACCAAACACAATGTGGCAAGGCAAGAGTGGTATGCACCACAGTGCTAGTGATAACCTGCTCAGACATGCTCCGTCGTCCACCACTGTCAACCTAACAAACGCAACACTGAAACAAAATCCCATTAGAAAGTGTGTGCGGCTTGTGGATCAATATCTGTACTCCTAAATCTTCCAATGTAAGGACCTATTTACACGATTCGACATTGCAGTAATTGTATTAGTTTTAGTGATCAATATGTAATAAACATGTGCTTCTTTTCGTCCAAAGTGTCTGGTCAAGGTCTGTCAGTTTCCTGCTAGTTTAGGATTCATTTTTGAAGAACATCCACGTCAGTGTCCCAATACGTCCAAACGAAGACGCAGTAGAGAAGCTTATTCAAGCCACTCACGTTCCATTTAAAATGAACCAATCCCCATGGTCCATAATTCACATCACCAAAGACTCCAGTCGCTTAGGGCAGTTAGAGAATAAACAAAGGACGGTGAGTTGCTTTGTGGCTAAAGCTTTCAGTCGTGACCCCGAAGATATAGGTTAGTAAATGAGAAGACGTTTACCACTTTGGGACAGTGCACCTAGGTTGTGTTTGTTTGTTTGGTGTTTAACGCCACACTCAGCAATATTCCAGCTATATGACAGCGGTCTGTAATAATCGAGTCTGGACCAGACAATCCGGTGATTGACACTATGAGCATCGATCCACGCAATTGGGACCGTTGACATGCATCCACCAAGTCAGCGAGCCTGACCATCCGATCCCGTTAGTCGCCTCTTACGACAAGCATAGTCGCCTTTTACGGCAAGCATGGGTTGCAAGACCTATTCTAACCCGGATTTTCACGGGTCAGACAAACCTAGAAACATCAGTGCGAATCGGTGACTCGTACCCACGATCATTGGTTTCTGGCGAGCCTGATCCGAGGGATGCTATGCGAATTGTGGTTCCTTGGACCATTGGGCAACGCCTGTCCCCAGTCACGGATTTGAGTGCTGTAATAGGTACTAAATAGTCCCTTCATCATGTCCGAGCAGCCAAGAGCGAATAAAGTTGAGTTCGGTTCAATTGTTAAACGTGGATGAAACCCTACGCACTCCCTCACTCGCTCGTCAAGACAAGAACGAAGTCATTGTGTATTGCGAGACACAAGTACGTGAAAATGTGCCAGATGTACACGCGTGTGTACATGTTTATGTAAGTATGAATATTGTTTTAAGAAAATGCATTTAAACTGTGAGATTGGTATTTCATCACTCTCAAGGAGCCGGACAGCTCTTATGAGTTAGTAACCTGCTTCATTTTGCTTCCTATTTTAACAATTCATTATCATTAATTATTCATTGAAATATCATTCACAATGATTAGTGATAGTTTTCCTTGGGTATTCAAAAGATACTCACACGCAAAAGAAACGCAAGTGGTTTTAAGCAAATAGGTAACAAACACAGAACCATAAATTGATACGAGTTTTAGCATGTAGTGAAGCCTGATGGTGTTATCAATATTTTTGGTTGCTTTTTGAAAGCCCCGAGTAAAAACGCAACATGAAAAAACGAATCGCCAAAACGCACCATTTCAATGAATATGTGGGTATCATGCACCCATTTCTCGCGAAATCGAAAGTGCACGAACTGTCACGAAGTGTAGTGGGTATAAAACTGTGGCCGATTCTTGGACCTACCACTCCTTGGTCAACAATGCCACGCCTAACTCAAATTCAGAGAAACCAGGTTATCGGATGTTTGGAAGATGGAGAGTCTGTCCAAGATGTTGCCCGTCATTTCAACGTTAACATAACCACAATTTACCGTATCCTGCATCGATACAATGCTACAGAGACCACAAATGACCTTCCTCGGAGCGGTCTTCCTAGGGTCACCACACCTCGACAAGATCGGCCGATTACCCGTCAACACCAGCGACATCCGTTCCTAACTGCAAGTGAAAGTGCTCGACAGACCATAGGAACACATAATCTACACATTAGCCGGGACACTGTGATCCGACGTCTCCCTTCCAACAACCTCAGATGTCGCCGACCAGCACGTCGTCCTGTTCTCCAACCACGGCATCGACAAGCACGACTTCAGTGGGCACGGGGTCATCACAATTGCCGTCATCGTGAGAGGAGGCGAGTCATCTCCACTCAATGTACAGGAGATGTGTGGCAGTGATCAATGATAATGGTGGTCACACCAGGTATTGACTGACATTTTGGGTATTGACCCGAAACTGTGTAAGCCCTTAACATTTGAAAAAAACAATTATGTCATCTGCCTTTTAATCGATTAAACTGTCTTCAGTCAATTTTTTGTCAATCTTGCCCTATTAGTATTTCTTGTCTTTACTGTTGAAAATAAATAACATGTATACTGCATACTCGACTTGCGTTTCTTTTGCGTGTGAGTATATATTTAACTCCCTTTTGCCCAGACAATTGGGTATTTTTAACCAATGAGTTAACTTTTTTGGAATATTTTTTCTTAAAATGCCATTTCAGTTGACTTCAAATTTGCACCTGTTGCAAAAAGCGAGACGTAACGCTCTTGTGCATTATTCATAGATACTCATGCCTGAATTCGTTGATTAAATGAAACCCGTGAAGATTCCGGGGTAGAATAAGTCTTCAGCAACCCATACTTGCCGTAAAAGGTGACTATGCTTGTCGTAAAAGGCGACTAACGGGATCGGGTGGTCAGGCTCGCTGACTTGGTTTAATGCATGTCATCAATCCCAATTGCGTGGATCGATGCTCATGATATTAATCAGTGGATTGTCTGGTCCAGACTCGATTATTAACAGACCGCCGTCATATAGCTGGAATATTGCTGAGTGCGGCGTTAAACAACAAATTAACCAACCAACCAATGATTAAAAGATATATAAAGATCTGTAAAGAAATACGGGTACGCAAGTTGATATTGAGCATTTGTGCACTATGTATTTTCTTCTTACGTATTTGTACCTAAATAAAAGTGACAAAACCCTTTCAATATTCTCTGTAAAAAAACAGAGTCAATTTACGATTTCGACTATATCATGAGCATGTGTTTATGAATCGCTAGCAACTAGTGATGTTACCAACCTGAGATGTTCGCGAAATCCTGTATCCTGTGCCACTGGTGGCAACTCTGAATAAATTGGTTATGGCGATTTAATTTGCATGTTATGCATATACGTCGCTTATATAGAGCTCTGTAAACACTGACAATCATTTTACAAATGTCACGACCAATATCACAGATGGAAAACACAATTCGATTAATATCATTTCGAACCAAATCAGCAATTAATAAAAACTTTGAAAAATTGAATATTTGAAGGTATAGATTGGAAAGACAAGGAAAAGGAAAGATAAATGAATTTTATTGTATTTATAACTTGAGTTAAGTCAATATTGTATGACAAAAGGATAACCACACATTCATAATGTTATGAAGTACACGAAATTGATCTGTTACTGCATCGGCAAGGAAATATCTCTTCCCTAGTTGAAGAATCGGGAATTATGAATATTGATGAACATATAAGGGCACTAGGAAAATTAGAACATCTAACGAGCTACGAAGAATTACGAATCATTCTTAATTATGTGCACACCAACCACACGACATGTCGAGCGGTGCAGACAGTCCTAAAAGGGAGGCAAGGCTCCGATTAATTGGCAGTCCACATTGTCTGTCTGCTAACACAACAGTTACGTCCTATATGAATCTAGCAATCAATGATTACTTCAATTTCATATATACAGTGTGTCAATTTCACACAAGGCGCAAAATACTGTCACAGCAACCAAAGACGTATATGGATCTGTATACGTCAACTGATACTGTAAATATACACCAAACTGTTAACCACAGTTATTCAAGTGTGCAGGTAAACACAATAACACGAACGGTTTGTCAAACATACGTATTTTCCCTCAATGTGCAAAAATACTCATGAATAAATACAATTCAACAAATACAATTGTTCCCCGATGTACTGGAAATTCTGTTTTCACTCAGGTTCTATAAACATTTTTTTGGGTGTCTAACAAATATCTCCCTCATCCAAGAACTTTAAACGATCGATCCTCCATGACTCCTTGCTTGTATACAAGCACACGAGTATTTGGGTTACAGCATCAGCGAGGGCACGTCACTTCCTTGGCTGAAGAATCCGGAATGGCTGTGAAAAGAGAGTTTGCCAAATTAAGTTTAGATGAAACAAAGTGGTTATCTCATCTCTGCTGGTGTACAGATATTCAATGTATGTGATTAATGATCATGAACTCCTGTATTGGTGGCGTTTGGGTGATAATCAGTTGATTATGATGTCATGACAATAATTTCTTTTCTCAACAAATGAGAACATGAACGCCTGCACCTACGAACACTTACACACACTTTCCTTGAAGAATACGTACCCGTTTTGTAGTAAGGCTTGAGCATCAAGGAACCCGCCGGATGACATCCTCCAGCGTAACCACCACATTTCATGTGAACAACAGCTCCTGTGTCATCTCTTTCTATTGATTCTATTATGGCACGCCATCCTGATGTTGCCCATTCTTGCTGAAATGGCAAATGCTCAACGGAATAGAAAACAGACTGTCAGTATATCAAAACCTTTGAAACATTTATGAATGATTTTGTTACTATACAGGAAAAAGGGGCACATAGGCCCAATTATCTAAGGCTCTGTGATTAACCTGTACAATTGCGTCCCTTATCTGTGATTAATCCTAGATATCATATTTGTTCCGAGATTCACAGATTCGTCCTTGTTTTGACGTCACGATGCCCGGGGTCTGGGTTATCCCCCCAATCGTCATTTATGATATCATGGTCTAATGTAGATTCGAATAAGTGCAAACAATTGGCTTCTGATACATGTTTAAATTATACCAAGATAGACGAATCTGAATGACTCCTTACGTCTGGTCCTACAATCCACCCAGTGTCTGTAAGGTTCACTGTAAACTCGCCCTTGGTTCCACATGATCTCAGAACGCCACCATTGTGTGCAGTGTAACAGTCCATAGCATTGGCGTAAACTATTTCCTTGTAGTTAGAGAAGTCGGCAAATGTCTTTTCGTTACGAACAACCTCCATGTTCTGTGAATACAAATGTTTACTCTGAGAATATTTTATAACACAATTCAAGAGTTGACTTTGGCATGTAACTATTCCGAACATTCACATTTCATGATCATTGATTAATTGTGGATAGAAGAATGTTGGAGTTACAAACGGTCGAAGAAAAGGTTTGTTTTGCTGAAAACGTGTGCAGCTGACCATGACCGTGAACGGAGGCTTGCCTGCTAAAGTGCGAACGGAGGCTTGCCTGCTAAAGTGCGAACGGAGGCTTGCCTGTTAAAGTGCGAACGGAGGGGAGGGCTTGTTATGTGATCAGGTGTGTAGTTTTGGAGGTAGCTTGTGCGACTAAGCGTGTAATTATGGAGGTAATTTACTCCAACAAGACCATCTATTGGGCCTCAGTAAATACAGGCTCCGCCTATGCTGTTTTTTCGTTTCAGCTTTTGAAATTGATAGACAGGAACAAAGTGCAAACATACATTCAGTACGCGCCGCTTTCGATATTTTGAATACGATATTTGCATTAACGATATTACGATCTATCTAGGTTGTATATACCGAGACTTGCACTTTAAGAAACAAATCCTTCAATAAGGCCCCCGGGGTATGTTCGTATCAACTAAATAAAATACAAACTATGACAATCTGGATGCAATGGAAGCGTCAAACTCTAGAACGTAAGCGTTTTAATCACGAAAATAGTTACCAAGATGACGACAGATGTCCCGTCCTTTGGTAAGCTGCCGTAATAAATGTCAGTGTCACGAACCTGTCATATCTGCAGATTGTCATACCGTCATACTTGTCACGAACCTGTCATATCTGCAGATTTTCAACACCGTCATACTTGTAAGGAACCTGTCATATCTGCAGATTGTCATACCGTCCTACTTGTCATGAATCTGTCATATCTGCAGATTGTCATTTTCAAATAAAACCCATGATCAAGGACCTAAAGTAAATGTTTCGATACTTTATTACATGCATACAACAACGGCAAAAGCAAAGATAATATGGGAATGATTTATCTAGCTTTCAACGTCGTTCTTATAGAATTGTGCCATCGGATGAAGAGCACAATATTTACCATTTACCTCAATAAGGACTCTTATTTTGTGGTAAAAGGCTTCACCACCTCTTCCTTTACAGTCGAGGACTAGCGATGTTTCTTGATTACAACCGATGTTTGTCACATTCGGATAAATTCCATAGTTAGGAGTGAGCAGTGTCAGGTACTCCACGGGCGTGTCTGTGTTCATGTTGTGGCAGTATATCCGGGTTCTGTACAGGTCAAAGTTCAGCAGACGCAGCCAGTATTCTCCATCTGTGCTGGAGGGGTCACATTCCTTGACCTCTGCACATGATGATGGTGTCACTGCAGGCGGAAGCACTTTGTTTAGTGAGAACACAAGCGACGTCGAAAAGCGAAGGACCTGGTGTTTAATCAATGAAATGGTTGCACTCCGAGGCGCAGAGAGATAGTTATTGAAATTAACTCTTTGAATTACGAGCCAGTTGTCATGTAACATTGGAATAAAGGACAATGGACATATAAATACGAAAAACATACATACATTCCAAAATTGGTAGAAACGTGAAACGAATTGATTTCTTGCTTTGTGACCCCAATAATGATCATGTTTCATAGTTACACAATACATATCACTGTAAACACCTAACCAAAATCTCAATTTCAAATAAATACTTATTAAACTGCCGATATGAAAAAGTATACATTGTTAGATTGTAAATAGGTTTTAATACTTCCGAAACTGAACTCGATTTGAAAACGATTGCCTAAACACCCCAAACATTATATGACTGGTAGGAGTCCGTGCATTTGGAGAAAAATGATTTTACACGAACGATGTATGAAGCAGAGCTATGTTAGAACAAGATGAAAATGCACAGAGGATTTTAAAACAAGAGGTTAGATCCTAAAATATCACAACCCATTAAAGAACGCGAGTGAAATTGTCAGCAGCACATAGAGAGCGAGGGGTGCTGGGGGTCTTCGAATGGCGCTGATAGGATGCTGCGCAGGTCCACATTGCAAGAACGCTCGGGTCTGACCATTGCCAAACTGCATCCGACTGACCATTGCGAAACTCCTTCGGCGATACCACCCGAATGACAGCCAATGAAGCAGAAGACCACATGCGAACACCCCACAGGAACACCACCATCTGCACACGTTACATCTGCGCAACTTTTTCTTGGCGGTGTCAGTGTCAAGGCCATTACGATAACGAGTTGAAGGAATTCCCAGGACCCAAACGCGGAATGGCCTTGACCCGTCAACATCGGCGAAATAGAGTCAGCTGTCTCGAACTGTGCAACATTAGCAACGACGTGATTGGCCAAGGATACTGTCAGCGACGAGAACAGGTTTAACTTGTTACATCCTGATTTGGGGATGCGGGTGAATCGATTGAGGTGCTTTTGTGAAAAGGGAATATTATCACTCTCAGATGTGTTTGATTGCGTCTGTTAATTCACCCCAAATGTCATAACATTGTCTTTTGGATTGTAACATAACTGACTGAACTTCAAAATGCATTTAAAAAAAAGTGTGTACATTTTCTTGTTTACTTTTTATAAGCAGTCAAAGATGATGTCTTTACTTTTTTTATTAGCGTTTCATTATAACAAATACTTCATATGGTAAAGATGACAATAATGTCCATAGACCCGTGACGCCCGGGGTAGAATAGGTCTTCAGCAACCCATGTTTGCCGTAACAGGTGACTATGCTGGTCGTAAGAGGCGACTAACGGGATCGGGTGGTCAGGCTCGCTGACTTAGTTTGATGCATGTATCCTAATTGCTTTGCTCATGATATCAACCACTGGATTGTCTGGCCCAGACTCGTTTATATACAGACCGCCGTCATATAGCTGGAGTATTGCTGAGTGCGTCGTTAAACAACAAACAAACAAACAATAATATTCATAAAAATAGTCTGTTGCACATCCTATACTTGAATAATTACATCATACTGACAATGGTATATTTCAACTTCATCCTAACCTATCCCAAATCAACAACCGTAACAATATGTCCTCCCCCCCCCCCCCCCCCCCCCTACGCTTCCCTCCCCCTTCTCTTCCCTTCCCAACCCCTTCCCAAAAAATACTACTTTATCGAGTATTACTCTATATTTTTCCATGAAGAAAAAGTCCAAACTCACCAAGCCGGCTACAGGTATATCTATCGTTTCCAAGGGGTTCACAGAAACGGTTTACTGAACAGTTGTGATTGGCGCACGCTCCAGCAATTGTCTGCAAAAGGGGTATACAAGATGATTGTAGCTTATGATTACAGTATTAGCTTATGTATTTGGAATACACAATACGATTCAAGTTATTCTTTATGTTTCGGCACTACCAATTTATAAGTAATTAATAATAAGTAATTAATAATGCTTTTAATTTTACCTGTGGCCATTGTGAGATGTCTGAGAAGACAAACTCAGGTGTTGTCACCAGGTGACTGGCGTTAAGACCTCCAGGTGATAACGTGGCATGGTTCAGCTGACAGTTGCCAGTGTTGGTGTCAAAGTTGAAAGACTGACACATTTTAATGGTCATACAATTGTATGCGCATTTCACTGGTCCCTCTGTCGTCATTGAAGCAATTTCGTGGTTGGGTAGTTTGTTGTTTTGTTGAAGAAGCGGAAAGTTACTGGACTTCGAACATATTTTTGTAGAATCAGCATGATGTTGTGAAAGAACCAATAGAAGGAATATCCCATCTAGGATACTACCTGCTCCCATCACTGCCTCCATTCATGCTGCAAAATTGAATACTGTCTACAGCTGATAACACGTACTGTAGTGATCACTTAAACGCTTACATAATCATATTCTTCATTCTCTACATGCTGCATCAAATACTCGTCACTATCAAAGTGTCATTATGTCCCTCATTTTTGTTTGCACATAATATTCGAAAAGAAGATTATTTTGTTTTCTCTTTTCTGGTAGCCATATCTGGATAACTTCACATGCTAACTTTTGATGAATATCCTTCGGGGGAAGGTATGTTGTCTAAGAAAGCATTTGTTTAAATTAAGGGGGACCAGGGTGGTCCAGTAAGGCGCCGAAATTCGCTGTGCAGAGCTGCGTCCCCTAGGGATATCAGAAACCTATGATCGCCGGTATGAATCGCAGATTCACTGTGATCAAGTTTCTTAATTTATTAGCATTTGACCCATTTCATCAAAGTGGCAACGTATACTGCATCACTTCGGGCCCTCCTCCCACATCAAGCTGACACGCCGTAACATAACTGAACTCTTGTTCAAAGCAGATAAAACAAAACTCACTCACTCACGAATGTAAACATATCTTTCTCGTTTACTTCAGTAACTAAACCACTTACAATATTTTATCTATTTCAGAAAATCAGAAAAACAAGTTTTGAATGGCTAAAATAACAAGATGAAAAAATACACAACTACTACAAGTACATGAAACCCCACATTGCAATGGCAGAGATAGGGAGAAACAGTAAAGCTCGATAAAGCGGAAATATAGATGACTTGAAGCAGAAATGACAATCGTGCATTTGATGGAGCGTAGACAAGTTGTACTAACTGAAAGCGCCAGCCTCTTAACAGCTGCCATTTCTCCTTCAAGTCACCTATTATTTTCTCTATATATCGTATGCCATAACTTCCCGCTGCTCCAGCCCTTGGTGTCTACTTTTTGAGGTTCAATCTAGAATGTTCTTTCTACGAAGACTTGATAGGGCGTCATGCGACTCTTGCTCAAAAGTTGTTTGATCAGGGTTAAAACATTGAAGGCTTAGTAAGACTTTCAAAGGGTAAAAAAGGGGATAAATTTTGCAAATTGGAGGCATCGGTGACAGAACCCAGGTCCGATACAATTCCCTTTTCCGAACTTGTCCACATGTTCCCTTGTTCTGGGACAAAACTGTATACATTATGTGATGAATATCCAGGTACTGTAATGACTATGTTTGGTGCTATGAATGCGTGTATGGGAGCAAAACAAGATTTTATAGAAGATTTCTCTGTCGATTATCTCCCGGTTGATGGCTTCAAATATGAATGTGATGGTTGACATATTCCCAGAAAGTCCAAAGGTAGTATCATAAATATTCAAGGTAAACAGTTATGAACATGGATGAACTAAACGGTAGAGCGATATCGATGCTCGTGATATCAATCACTGGATTGTCTGGCCCATACTCGATTATATACAGACCGCCGTCATATCGCTGGAATATTGCTGAGTGCGTCGTTAAACAACAAACAAACAAACAATAATATTCATAAAAATAGCCTATTACACATCCTATACTGGAATAATTACATCATACTGACAATGGTATATTTCAACTTCATCCTAACCCATCCCAAATCAACAACCGTACCCATATATTCCCCTCTTCCCTTCCCTTCCCTTGTCTTCCCTTCCCAAACCCTTCCCCAAAAATACTACTTTATCGAGTATTACTCTATATTTTTCCACGAAGATAAAGTCCAAACTCACCAAGCCGGCTACAGTAATATCTATCGTTTCCAAGGGGTTCACAGAAACGGTTTACTGAACAGTTGTGATTGGCGCACGCTCCAGCAATTGTCTGCAAAAGGGGTATACAAGATGATTGTAGCTTTAACTATAATAATTGTTTCATACATCGAGGATGATAAAGGATTTAGAATGCACAATACGATTCAAGTTTATTTTTAATTACCTGTGGCCACTGTGAGATGTCCCAGAAGACACTCAGGTGTTGTCACCAGGTGACTGGCGTTAAGACCTCCAGGTGATAACGTGGCATGGTTCAGCTGACAGTTGCCAGTGTTTGTGTCAAAGTTGAAAGAATGACAAATTTTAATGGACATACAATTGTATGCGCATGACTTAAACCATGAATGTGATGGTTGTTATATTCCCAAAGGCAGTATAATAAATATTCAAGGTAAACAGTTATGAACATGCATGGACAAAACAAGCACACCTCACACTCGCTCGTCCTGCATATTCATCTCACAGCATAGATAGATTTCAGTGGGACCAAGCACGTGGGGTGGGTTTGTGAAGTTTATGAACAGGTGCATATATTTCTTCAAAACTAATTGACAATATCTATTTGTTTTGTTTGTTGTTTAACGCCGCACTCAATAATGTCCCAGCAATAAATTAAACACAAATGTAGACTCTGCTGTAGAGATGTTAGAAGACCAATTTAAACGTAGCATTATATCAACTATAGGACATCACGAAGACCGACGGCCTCATGCAAACAAACTAAGCTACCTCTAGGTACACTGGTTTGATAGGTGATGCAGGACACTCAAACGTACAAAATAAGTCCTGAAAGTGAACATTGCAGTGAGTATTTGAACGTCTGTAAGCATTTTAAAGATACTTGTAAAAGGAAAAAGATTGATTATGAAGTCTCTGTAGAAGTTGTAAAAGCTGCAAAGGGTAAAGACAATTAACTATTAAGAAATAGTGCTATAGATATGAGCCGGGATCTTCATCCATCACTGCTGCAGATTGGCATGCATACTTCGGAGAACTTTTGTAAAAGGAAAAAAAAGATTAAGTTCGTAATGATACGTATTGCCAAGACTGGTAAGCTGATATCAGATGTTGAAAGTTGCAACATTCCTATTCCTTGTTTAAGACTGAATTACTACCAGAGATGTATTAATAACTATACAATCTATATGTTTTCGCGGATGTTTAACAAAGTTCAGATGTGGCCTAGATAATCTTAATATACAGTTATACAGACATTCCAAAGATAATTAGAGTTTACGTCGACGTGTCCTCACTGCAAATATTACCCAAAAGATGAATACCATGTGTTATTAATTTGTTTAGTATATGAAGATGTAAGATTTACCTAACTAAATATTATTAAACGTATCCAACACAAAGACAATTTGTATTTGTTAATGAACAGCAAAAATAGATACATTCTTCTCAGACTTGCAGTTTTTTTCAATAAGATATTTGAAAGAAGATGTTGTATTGAATATTAATAAAATCCATATGTGAACATCTATTCAATTCCCTATACCAATGCTCCAGGACGAGTTTGCCTACAAGAAAATGTCATTGTACGGTAACCTCCCAATTGTCAGACATCCCATTTGTTAGACAGCTTATACCATATGCGTATGTGTTCTTATTCTACCTAACATTGTACTTAATATTGTTTGTTAATCTTCACTGAGTTTCCTATATTCTATATCAACGTCTCTAATTCTTTGCTAATAAAACACACGTAACCCGACGCAGATCAAGCGCAACTTATAAACACATTCGTAATCTAGTCAATCCGTATCACATAAAGAGTTGGAGTAGATAGAGTACTATTGTACTGGCCTGTCAGTCAGTCAGTCAGTCAGTCGGTCACTTTTTTCTGTCTGTTTTGTCTGTCTGTTTGTCATAAACACATGCTTATGATACAGTCGGAGTCCTACAATGGATTCTGCTTTTGGTAAAAAATTCATATGATAATTGAAATGTTTTTGTCGATTTTATTTTGATTCTTAGATGACAGTTAGGTTCATCACAATTTCAACTCCCTCAAATATCGTTATGCTAATATTAACAGTTGTATAACACACGTATACTTACAAATCAGCTAAAGCATTCTCCGACGACACCATTCCGTCAAGTAAATTGCAACCAACACCCAAGACCGCCCAACACCTACTGGGAACATCTCCTGAAAATTTATTTGTTAAAATGCAAATCTAACGAGAAGCACACCTGGCCTCAGGTGGAATGAATAAATTAAGAATGAAAAAAGGATATGTCCTTTAATTATTAACTGGTATAGGTCAGACGGTGCCATTTTTTTTTATAAAGATCAAAGAACAATATCTAATATGTCTCTCGTTGTTACTTATCGAGTGATTGTTTATCAACCTGCTAATGGATATTTACGTCTATGTTAGACACAGCTGTTAACACATTTTACAGTTCCTTCCCAAGGATTGACGAAAAGACTAAATCTGGATTATATTTTTATAACTCTACACAAGTTGTCATTTTCGATTTGTAAATGGCTTTGGATATTAAATTATTGAAATGGAAAGTTCTAAACAATGTAATCAACCACATGCATCACATTAATTATTAAATCTTTATATCTACACAGATTCTTTAAGGATGCATTAAGCTTCTATACAATCCAATATGTTACTTCCTGAACACCAAGGAGTTGTTTTGCAAACATGAGAGAGAGAGTGCGTGCGTGCGTGCGTGCGTGTGTCTCTCTCTCTGTGTGTGTGTGTGTGTGTGTGTGTGTGTGTGTGTGTGTGTGTGTGTGTGTGTGTGTGTGTGTGTGTGTGTGTGTGTGTGTGTGTGTGTGTGTGTGAACAAGCGATATCTACACAGATATCGCTGTAATGAAATTGCATCACATTGCTTTGCAGACCATTGTGACCTCATTGGTTACCATGACGTCACAATCGAATGACATCACTAATGGTTCTGCTACTGAAGCTGTTAGCAGTACTTTTTTTTACTTAAGACACTGCTTATTACTGTCTACAAAAAAAATGGAAGAATGATGCTGGATAAGCCTCGGAGTTTTTCCTCTTTTATCAACCCGTGTCAATATATCTGATAGCAAAAGACACTCGGGTAAGAATATATATATTTGTTTTTGAATATATATACATATTCAACAACAAAGGTTCCTGTGACACATGACACCAATATTTTAGTGGTAAAGTAAAGTTTGGTTTTCAATATTGTAGTACATGTATGGAATTAAGTCACAAAAACGCATATGCTACAGTAAAGCATGCATTCCATGCAAAATTTGACTTTAATGCATACCCCCATGCATTTCACTACCCAAGAATGGGTATAAAAACATGTGCGTTATTCCATATGCATTGTTTAGCATCAAGCTGACAACAACCACTCAGAAAAACAACAAAATTACGCAATTATTCAACATTACGAAATGCCACGCCTGTCCGAAAATGAGCGTCTGCGAGCCATTGGTATGATTGAAGTAGGATCGAGTCAAAGTGATGTTGCAAAACAACTTAACGTCCACAGAAACACCATTTGGTGTTTATGGCAACGTTGGCAACAGACGAATGCAGTCAGAGACCATCCTCTGAGTGGCAGGCCACGCGTAACCAATAATCGACAAGACAACTGGATTCGAACAACACACCAACGAAATCGATTGCAGCCAGCAACAGTGACTGCAAGAAGCATCCCTGGCCTTCGACGAATATCCTCACAAACCGTACGTCGTCGCCTCATATGTGCAGGGATTGTCGCCAGAAGACCCGCCAGGCGTCCCATTTTGACAGGAGAACACCGCCAAGCACGTCTACAGTGGTGCAGACAGCGTCTACGCTGAACGGCTATGCAGTTGGGACAAGTTCAATTCACTGACGAGTCTCGCTTTCACCTCAGCCACAGCGATGGACGGATTCGAGTGTACCGACGTCGAGGTGAACGTTACGTCAATCATTGTGTCATGGAAGAAGATCGGTTCTGGGAAGGCAGCGTTATGGTATGGGGTGGGATTACAGCAAGATAGAGGACTCGTTTGATAGTGGTAGAGGGAAATCTGAATGGACAGCGCTACCGCGACGAGTTCATCGGCCCTGTTGTTCTACCGTTTTTGCGTCGTAATGGCCCAGGCTTTACATTTCAACATGACAACGCCCGGCCTCATATTCCTCAACTTGTTCAGGATTTTCTTCAACAAAACCACGTAAATGTCATCCCCTGGCCGGCTCGCCCCCCTGATCTCTCACCAATCGAGCACATGTGGGATGAGATGGATCGGCGCCTTCGACGTCAACCACGTGTTCCACAGACACAGACTTGAATAGTTTTAGAATACACATTTTCAAAACAAATAAAAAATATTTGTTGTGTTAAACCTCATGAGGTGATAAGGCCATTTAATCACCTGTTTAAACAAGACGCCCCATATTGTGATTTGATTCGTCTGATTGGCCATCGGGTATTGTTCAAAGGCATGAATGAATTGTTAGGACATGAATATGTAAGAATTGAATTTAGAAAGCATTTTTAATGTACACCTTAGAAAAAACTACACGCCGCTTTCTACGCTCGTTAAATTGTACCAGTATCAATTTTTGACGAAACACATTTGATTTTGTTTTACATATGCCATCCTCTTATTGAAATACGAAACCAAAATCGATAATCCAACGTGTCGGTATTGTTCCATGGAAATATTTATTTGACTACCCCTTCAACTGCCTCTGCTACTTCCCGAGTTCATCCCATATGACTCAGTACTTGCGATCATCTGGCGGAAAATACAACCTTGTTCCAAGGTTTCAGCATGTGTCTTGGGTATCATACACTTTTATTAAAATGAGATGAATGGGTGAATGTGATGTGTAGATAGCTCAAAATGATACATGGAAGTCCTTGATATATAGAAATAAAGAAGAGTTTATCTGTATTGTTTCCAGGTCTGTAGATGTTTTTAAGTGGCATAACATTCGTCAATATTTTTTTTATATTTTCTTTTCTTCAAATATGGTACGGAGTGACAGTCCCCAAACGTATTGACATGTTCTTCTTGTTTTTTTTATTGTTTTGTTTTCATGATATCGACGCTGGTGTGACCATTATCCCCGGTTTAAGCTTTCATTTGACGACCTCACAGAAGGACAAAGTACAAAAGGCGAAGTCAGGCCGTTTCTTGACAACAACATATAAACAGAACCTTCAGTGGTCCATCGATTTCAGGAGATGTTTACAGAAGACGGAAAATTAAGCTATAAACTCTCTTGGGCTGATGGCTTGGGGTCGGCACGTACTTGGTGATGTTAATGAAGAACTCCCGAATGAAATTAGTCCAGCTTGTCCTTTGTTCCATGGTTCAGTAGAATTCGGATTAGTAATTTATTCACACGCTGTTGATTAGTTATTGATTAAGTCCGTATACGTCTCTTGAACAATCTCTTTGCCATTTTGTATAGAAGGTGTCGCTTGGGAC